CGCATGTGCGCGTTCAGAAATTATATTTGTGTACATTGCCGAACAAATAATGCACAAGCATATAAACATACATATGCGTTCACATATGAATATTTCATTCATAAACGCAGGCGCAACAAGCGATCTCACTTCATTCATAAAAACAGACGCCGTAACATCTCTCCGAGCATGCCTTAGCCAACAAGCGTATTTTCGCGACATTGGCAAAAGCTAAAAATCATAAATTGAACAACTTTTGATGCTTCTYGCAAAAATCTGCGTCGATATGTATTCTCGCTCATACGTATACATACATACATATTTACGCACGTTTGTAGGCGAAGCTGTTACAGCGGCAAGGGAAGAGGTGACAATCGGCCGCCATTACTTTATTTTTTCGGCACAACTTCGATTTTCTACCAGCAAGACACTTGTCGTGCGCTTTGGCCTTAGTTGACCGTGACAACATAGATGTCAAAAGATCCGCGCGGCCATTATTGGTTGTTTGTACATATGTGGCTCGTATTTGTTTTCGCAAACTTACAGACAAATGTGCAAAAGAAATAATATATGTATATGCCATAGAAATTCTATTGCTACGAATATGGAAATATATTTCATGAAGGTCATTAATTTTTTTGAAGAAATGAAAGGATTGAAGTGTTTATATGAGCACATTTAAGTTAATTTGGCACATCTTCATTTTACAATAGTCGAAAGTAATATAATATAATAGCCAAAATTAATATCATTTTTGAAATAATAATTTATTGAAAATTATTTTTAATATAATATAATATAGAATTTTTACCATTTTTCGGAAAACAATGGTTCATAGAATATAAAATAAGCATGCTTATGTGTTCATATCATACAAAATAAGCATGCACATGTGACTCAAAGAATGCTTTTTTACATTCTTTGTGTGACTTTGTATATTTTTCTACAAAGCATTTCTCTTTATTTATTGTCGCATGAATTCAGTCGTTTTACATATATTTTTGCCAGAGAACGTGCTCAATTCTGCTAAATGGTGAATTCCCTACTATAAATCTATCAGCTCTGTTAGCCGCGCAATCGAACATCATACAGATTTCGATTTGCACCTTCTCTATACTTCACGTTCTCTGGCTCAACATCCGAACAGCACATTCACCGTAGTATTTGCTCTTCAAAAAGTTACTTCCACCATCAAGCACAAATCTCATTGGTTTGGGACTAACGTTTAAGACAGACAAATAATCAAATGTTGTACACCAGCTTCTTTGCTGATTCTATTAAAAAAAAATACAAAATACATAGTAAATCTTTTGAAATAAAGTTTAATTTTAGCTCACCTAGCAATGCGACGTGCACCTTCCACGAGCACGTCATTGAATTTAAAATTTTTCTCGAATTCACGACCAACTAAGTTGATAACTACATTTGAGTAATTCACAGCATCGCGTGTCGCTTTTTCATCTCTTAAATCATAAAATTGGAACAGCACCTGACCCATTACGCAGCAATATTGACGAAGCCATGTTTAGTTTTTTCGTACTTTCATAGGAATAAAATCTCAGTCGATCTGTTATTTATCTTTCCAGCGGAAATTTCCAAACACTTCCTCCAGATCCAAATAACTAAATGAACCATAGTAAAGGATTGTTATATGAAATAAATTAAAACAAATTGTCTTGCAAAAACTTACGTTATGATTACGGTCGGCATGGTTGCTTATTTGTTCATAACATAACATGGTGAACTTACTACAATTAAAACGAGGCATAAATAAAACACTTAATTTTTCATGCATTTGCTCATATTGTTCTCATCTTTAAAAATATAGGGTTGTGTTTAGTATCGCGCCGGTTAATTTTGGCTCACCGTACCTAAACGAGAGAACCAAATGGAAAATTTTWAACACGCATGTATGCTTAAATTATCGAACTTTGTTTTAAAATATATTTTATAAAAATCGGTTCACAAATTTTTCCACAAATTCACTTTAAAAAATGCTATTTTTAGCAAAATTCTAAATATATGCTAGTGTATTTTCATCTGTTGTGCATGGTACCAAACCAACTATGGATACATTTTCACCCACATATATTACT